CTCTGCAAGGTGGTTGCTAATCCAGAGTTTGGAAGTTACAGCTTAGTAGCACCTTTGTAGGTGTTCATGTTGCATGATAAAGCCTGTGGTTTCCAGACTGATCTGCTCACGCTCAGGAGAGACTGTCTGTTATCACATCTTCTGTAGTGGTTGCAGTTCTCTGTAGTTGTTGGCCAACATAAAAATACAGCAGTTTTATAGTTTTTGCAGGTTCAAGTTGTATGGAAGCAGCTCACCAAGCTGTTGAAATGCTTGAAGCAGGGAGGAGCTGTCACATTTTTGTCACTAGAGGGCAGACGTGTGTCAGCTTTGAACTCAGTTGCAGTACTGTGACCCTCCAAACATTTCTTCAAATCTCAGTGGAAGGTTTGTCTGTAAAAGAATTCCTGTGTAACGATTTAGAATGATTTAGTTATTTGTGCAAGAGCATATACAGTGCTGTTTATTTTAATACAGGGGTTTCATATTCTTACCATGTTTTCGCAAGGGAACTCAGCACTCCTCCTCCCCGTGCAGTTGTCACTTCAGTAGCTGTTGTGCACCGACCAGCTCTGCATTACAGGCAGGACAAATGCAGAAAGAGAGCATTTCAAATAGTGTGACATTTTCAGACGGTGTGTGATGCACTGCCATACAGCCAGGGAGCTGATGGTACACGACAGATGGTACAGAATTGTGGTTGGTCTCCCAGACCCTTTTTACCCACCTGTCTGTGTCAGGCACAGACTGAAAGCACACACTGACACAAGAGATAGCAGAATACCAGAAAGGTAGCAGGGATGGAGAGAGAGCAGCTGCCTCAGGATTGCACATCTAAAATATCTGATTGTTTTCTGGTATGTCTTTTCTTCTAGTTACGACTTCACACCGCTGGACTCCTCAGCAGTGTATGTGCTCAGCAGCATGGCTCGCCAGCGTCGCGCTTCTCTGTCGTGCGGAGGATCAAACAATCAAGATGCTGAAAGATCAGAATGCAGTACTAAAAACTGTGCAGCTGCTGCGGCATCCCATCTTTCCTCCACTGCTTTGTGCAGCAAAGCTGGCAAAAGCCACGGCTCAGGGACTGCAAGTACTGTGAGTGCCACTTCTCCAAACAAGTGCAAAAGACCAATGAATGCCTTCATGCTTTTTGCCAAAAAATACAGAGTTGAATATACTCAGATGTATCCAGGGAAGGACAACAGGTAACAGCATGACATTATGGTGTGGTTATTACTGCGGAGCTGGCAGCATATCCGTGTTCCGCTTCTAATCATAGAGTGGACTAAATTTTGTACTTGAAATAACAAGTGTGTATATTACGTAAAGACTGAGTTTTGAAAGATGCTAACGCAAAATGTATGGGCAGGCTTTAAATATCTGCAGTTCTCTGTACATTTGACACAAGCCATTTTTGGCAAAGTTGCCTTCTGCTGAGAAAGCGTTTGGGACAGCGGCTGAGGTAGGAGTGTGCGCACCGCCAGCATCGCAGGTGTACAGCAGTCTGTGGGGCACTGGTGAGAAATGTTTGTGGGGAAAAAAGTACCAGCTTCTCTGCTTGGGTGTTGTTAGAGAAACAGGGAAGTCCTGGTTGTTCTAGTATAGCCATAATGGTCTTGACGTAATACTGTATCATCCACGAAGCTACTACCATTTATTGTAAGTTGTATATCTTGTTAGATAATGAGTTACTGATTGATTGGATGTCTGAAAGATCTTAATCCAAACAGCACATAGGCAAATTGTGCTTGTCCTAAAAGCAGAGAATGACCTGGTGGAATGTGCTGGGAGAGCTGTGCATCTGTGTGCTTGGGGGAAAGGATCTTGCCTTGTTCGTCCATGCTTATAAAGCTGCTTGTTGTGTGTGTATGTTGAAGCACAATGCTATGTTGTGCTGGCTGTACGTCTGTAAATATAAATGAAAACACACGAATGAACCCATTTTAAAATCAGATTTAAGAAATGTATGTAAAACTGTGACCATAAAAAAAAAAATAATACTGTTTTGCATAAAAGAATGTGACAGAAGTTAAAGGTGATGGTGCTTTAAGAGGGCTCCTCTGCTGGGGAGGCTGAAGCTACTGCTGAGAAACAAACTCCTGCCATGCAAACAGCCCGTCCTTAAATTCCAGGCAATGTCCTTAAATTCCAGGCAATCTCGTGTGCCCTGGCAGTGACATTCTGCAGTGTTCCCAGTAATTTCAGTGAAGCAGATTTGCAGTCTTCAAATTCATGGCAACTATAAGTGAGAAAGTGACAGAAAGTCAGCTAGGAAAGTTTTTGATTATTTAATTAAAAAGTGCTGATTAAATGGCTGCAGTGAGCCAGAGTTGCAGTTGGATAAGTGGGAGAATAGTTTGAATGTTTCAGTGAGCACATTCATACTGATGCAAAGTGGAGAGAGTTACTTGTAAGCTTTAGAGTGCACTGCTCCCTGTGCCTTCTGAATGCACTTTCTTGGCATCCATAAAATACAGTGAGAGCTCAGTAACTGACTTTCTGGGCACTCAGCTGCTGTTGCTTAAGTGTTACTGTGGCTGTTTGGAGGCAGCTGCCACGTTCTTAAAATACAAGTATGTTTGGTGTTCAGAGTGCTGAGTAAATCTTAACCGTGGTTGTACACAGTGCCAGTTTCCATACTGTGGAGTTGTCGTGTTTGTGTTTTTTGTGCACATGGCTGAGGACAGAACTTGAAATATTCAGAGCTAAAATGTCTGTTCGGAGATAAAGTGGTTCAGGACATGTTGAAGAGATAGCGAGCTGCAGGCGCTCCGAGCCCAGTGTGCCTGTGCTGCTGTGGACCAGACCTGAGGGCCGTACTTCAGAGACCTGGTCATCAGGCTCACACCTGTTGCTTCTGTGCGTGTTCTTGCTGTAGCCGTAGCTGGGCTTCAGTTGTGCTTTCTGAAAGACGGATCATTTGGGCAGCACACATTCAAAAAGTGAAGAAAATTCTGCTGGCATTTGTTAGCGCTGAACATCATTACTTGAGTGAACTTGAAGCTGCCTCCAATTCTGTTTCACAGTTTGTTTGGAATGGACTGCAGTGTAAGGGCTTGCACCCTCTGTGGCAGCATGCTGCTGTAACGCTGCCAGGCATCTCACCAGCACTGGAAGAGGAAAAAGGCAGCGTACAGAGCATGGCAAAGATGTGCTGGGATGAAAGGGCTGGAGGGGCAGCTCTGCAGTACTTGTTTCTGGTTGGGAGAGTCGTGTCTCTTATGTCAGATGTCTCTGTAAGCATTTTTTTCCATCTTGGAGGTTCACTCATAGAACTGTTTCCTTGGAGAAATGAAGCTCTTGTCTGTGCCTTAGATTTCTTGAGTTTTTTTAAACGTGCTGGTGAGCCCTTATTTTCAGTGCCTCCATGCAGTTGGAGTCTGGAGGTACCATTTCTCTGTAGGCTTATCTATTGCATTTGAAAAGCAAACATTTTGGAGTTTTTAGCTGGAAATGCAATGGCTTTCTCAGCGCACCTTGCTCTGGGTCGTGTTGCTTTTCCCTGGGAGGATGTGTGGGAATGGTTTCACTGCCAACAGGGAGCTTTTTTAATAAGGAAAATCAGTATTTCTAGTTGCATGCACCTTTTTCTTAGATCTGGTTGTCCAGCTTTCATCACTGTCATCTGAAGCCATTGCCATACCTGCTGTGTAGATTAATAACTGTTGATAGGGCAGCGACTGTGCAGAGATCTGCATTCAGCCAAAGGATGGCATTAACATTTTAATAGAATATTGATCCAACATTTGGGAGCACAGTTAAGCAATATGGCACAGCAGCGTGGGGAAATATTGTCCAGAGGTCATCAAGCTTACAAGGAGCAGAAAAACGACTCGTTCAGCTCTTGGAAGTCCCAGTGGCTGTGCTGGAACAAACGGTTCCTCTCTGTGCAGGAATGTTACATGGGAACACAGCCGTGTGCTCGGCCCACTCGTGTTCTCCCTGCTGGGGGCTGGAGGTGGAGGAAGCTCCACAGATCACGAACCAGACGCGGGGGCAGCAGTTAGTCAGACCTGAGGTCATGCTCAGATCATTGCCCTAATTATTAGAGAACATATTTTCAGCAAATCTGTCAATCTGTCATACAGGCTTATGGTAGAAAAGCAGGGCAAAGCAACTGTGGTTGTGGTGGTTCTCAGCATTGTTTAACATCCCTCTTTGCCGGTTTCTGCCAGTCGCTGCGTATCGCATGCACACACTTGGAAATTCTGGAATGCTTGTTGGGCCTCACTCAGCTCTCAGAAGTCTCAGCTGTTTAACTGGTAGAAGAGAGGAGGTGATTGGGAAGAAATGTTTGATTTCTTCTGTGCGTTTTTTTTAAATGTTTCCTAAGGGGCTGGGATTTAAAAAAAAAAATAAATAAATAAATTAAAAAACTATAAAATCCCATTCTTGACCATAGTCTGAAATGTGTGTTGCAGAGCCATAAGCGTGATACTTGGTGACAGGTGGAAGAAAATGAAGAATGAGGAGAGGCGGATGTACACGCTAGAAGCCAAGGCCTTGGCAGAAGAACAGAAGCGTTTAAATCCTGATTGTTGGAAACGAAAACGAACAAATTCTGTAAGTTTTGTCAAGCTGGGTTTTTTTTCTCCATTATGCAGACACATGTGTTTGTATGGTAGCAATGGTGTTTTCTGTCTGTTCAGGACCTGCTCCCCCTTTCCTTGGTAACTGCTGATGTGTTTTTCTCTACCCCCAGGGGTCACAACAGCACTAAGCCAGGATTCTGCCCATGACGATGACAAAATGGCTGTTGCTTGATGGCAAGAAGATGTGAGATCAAGGTCTATTTGTTGTGAATTTGTGTGACCATAAAATGCTGGCACCATCAAGTCAGAAACGATGTAATAGGAGTGCGGATTGCTTTTTACAATAGAACATTAAGTAAGCTAAAACTATCAACATTTTAAACCAAATTGCCTTATTTCTCTTCCAAACTTCATATATGTATCAGGTAATATAGGCTTGAAAATGGATATCCTGTGGTGCTAAAGTACTTCAGAAAGAGGCGAAGGAGATGTGTATAAATGTTTATTTTTAAAAGAAAATGTACAAAAAGGGGAATTTTAAAATATGTAACAGCTGTTTATATACATCGATTCTTATTGCTGATTTATATGTATTGCACAACCATATTATTAATTACGATTCTGGGGGCTGGGATTTTATGAAATGGCAAGCAGTGTATTACCAGTAGCCTCCCAGTCTGCCCAGATGCCAACAAGTTGGCAGGACATGTGGGAAGTGGAGAGCACAGTGAGCTGTAGCACGGGAGCTGCTTCTTGGGTCGCCACCTATTGCATCTGTATCCGCAGTGAGATGTTCGCACCAGCTGGCAGTAGCAGAGCCCTCACTTCCACCAGAACCAAGGGCTTGGGCCAGGGCAAAACGAATAAACAACATTATCTCAAGAAAAAATGGTGCTGTTGACGTCGTCACCGAGTAGTTTTAACTTTGTGTTTGGTCTTTGCCACATATTCTGCAATATTTTATTTCGCCATAAGACCTCTTTATGGTGGGGGCAAACTTTGCACTTAACTATACGTGCAACACTTGCACTTTACTTTTATTTCCTCCTCCAACTGTCTGACTTAGAGCGGCTGCAGTAGGATTACAGTTGCTTCTGCTGTGAACTACAATCATGGCTTTTCATGTACTAAACAGCTGTGTGTTTCTTTTTTTTTTAAGAATCACAACTGTAAATTTCAGTTTGACACGTCTACGTGATGTTGCCCCTAAGATTTTTGCACACTATATTCTTGTATATTATTTCAAATAAATTCATTAAAATTTGGTGCTGTGTACTTTATGAAATGAAGATGATGCCATGTCAGGTCACCCCCAGCCCAGGAAAGCTCTGTGTGAGCCTGGCAAGAGTCTGTTTTTATACTTCATGCTTCGGAAGCTGCTGAAGAACTTGAAATACTGAGTTCAGGATTGGAAAGGCAGTGTTCTTTATTACAGTTGAGGCAAAAAGAGAGGTGAAATCATTATAAATGACTCCCGAGTGACAGAAGAGCAAGAGCAAATCATTGATGTTATTTATAAGTATTTTTCCTTGTGTTAAAATTAGTGATTTTTAGATGGAAACTGATGAGTCTGGCATTTCAAAAGGACAGTTTTCTGAATAAGGCTAATATGTATTCAACTCTTTAAGACTGCACTTGTAGGAAAAAAAGAGCTACTTCCTTATTAGAGATATTCAGCAATTACACTGTAATATTTGAGTATGTTCTAATTTTACGCGTTTCTAAATGCAAAAGGAATGTTGGAGAACGATTAATTTTTAACAGCACATAACAAGGGTACAATTTCATAACAACATTTGTGTGTAAATTCCCATCAGAATGTGAGGAGAGAAGCTCCACAGGTCAAGTAGGTAAACATACCTCACTGTAAAGCGTATGTGCGTGGAGGTACTTTACATGAACCCTAAGCAGAGCTGTGGCACCACGGGGAGTGGCTGTGTTCCTGCTCACTGGAGGGCTGACATGGCTTTCTGCAGCAGCTGAACCATTATGGGATAGACGGGAGCAAACTCCTTTCCTTCTCGTGCTCTGACTGACTGAACATAGGCTTCCAGTGCACCTCTAAGGAAAAAAAACACCAAAGCTGTTAAAGCAATAAAACTGTGTGCAAAGTACTGTAAGTTCCAGATCCAAAAATTGAAATTAATCAAAACCATTCCCTGCTACGGAATTTTCCTTAAATGATTTCCCGTATCTTTGTGGATGGAAGCGGAGAACAAAGCCTGCAAAGCTCTACAGAACTGTTCCACACTCTTTTCTCCTTTCCAGCATGTTTTGAGGAGTGAACAAGTTAACATTTGAATAATCAGCAGCACATGCTGCAGATGGCTTGAAATGACAGCTCTGACGCACAGACACAGGCACAGTGCTGTACTGGTAACCTTTAGAAAGGGAAAGAATAGACTCCAGCTGCTGCACACACTAAGCACAACTTCCACAATGAAAGTGGGGCACCGGCGGATGGCTGAGCTGCCCTCAGGTGCTCTCCTGGCTCGGGCTGCTGAAATGCTGTCCTGTGGGAGATGCTGCTCTGTGCCAGAGACAGACTGCATCTATGCGCTCATACATCTTCACTGTGTTTTTCTCACATGCTGTTGTAGAATGTCACACCTGTGTGGATTACACAAATAGAGAACTTCCATGCTAAAAGTGGCAATTGTGATGGCATACTTGTCTGTGCACAGCTTGACTTGACTTGCTCTGAAAGTAGAGGGCCTCCTTTTACCTAATGGTGCTATTAAGTAGCAGTGTTCAATTATGCATCTGTACGACAAAGACTGTAATGTGAAGTTCAGCTGTGACACACTTTTCCATGAAATAGGCCAGGCTAGTTTCATGGATATTCAAACACACAGCATCAAATTTAGTTCATTTTTCCTTCCCATTATCCCTCCCCTTTCTTCATAAAATACAACGCATTGGGTGAGGGTCCTTCTGAAAGTCTTTGTTCATCCTACATTCCATGGTGCTGTTTACAGCAAAATGGTGATACTGAGGAGAAAACCACACATAACCAACAGACCGGGCACCCGGTGCCCCCCCAGCAGTGCTCATACAGAGGTCATCGCAGAGCATTCCTGTGGTACCCCAGCTCCGTTCCGCACAGCTGCAGCTCTGGCTGCTCGTGCCCCAGCAGGAGAGCTGAGCTCTGGGTTGCTGACTGGGGAAGTGGTCCTGAATGTGTGTGTGCTGGAGGTGCTGCAGCCTGGGGTGCCCCCACCTCACTGCTGGGCAGCGACTCGTGAGCCTCCCGGCCGGAGCACACAAACAATGTGACCAAACACAGGCACACAGACACACACAGCTGCAGTCAAACTTTCCAGGCGCATCACACTGCAGAGCTCAAGGCTGATGTGACAGGAAGGAGCTGCAAGCAGCTCTCCTGCTGAGCACAGGGTGGAAATGAAGCAGGCACTGCGCAGTGCCCACTGCAGCCCTAGGTGCAGCAGACCTGCACGCGCTTGAGAGTTCTTCAATTTCAGTAACAGTTCTTCACCAATGAGACAGTGCTGAGTGCTCCACACCTGGTTCCAACATATCCTAAACAGTCCCTTGGCTTTTTTTTTTTTTTTTTTTTGGCATATCAAGAAGCAGCAAGAGAAAAGTTATGCCTCTTCAGAAGCAGAATGGCAGGGACTGAATATTTGATCTAGCTGTAACAGAGCTGCCTTTCTGCACTTGGTCAGCTCCCTGAAAGCTTTCATCCTGCTTTTCCCTCTGAGAGTATCACAGAGCCTACAGGGATGGAAGCAGCAGTTACAGGATTGCTCGCTGCCCTCAACTCTCAGGGGCAGTTCAACTTGCTCCCGTCACCAATGCTGACTGCAGTGACAGGCCATGTCCCCAGGTAAGCTTTAAATCCCAGGAGAAGGCAAGACGGGGGAAGAGAGAGCGGCTCAATGTGTTTCTTAGTCCTGCAGGTCCATGATGGCAATGGACACATGCAGAGCACATGGTGAACACTAAACAGAGGTGGGAGGTGCACGCAGGGATGGCTCACGGATGCTGTCAAGATGAAGAGAGATGCTTCACACTCCGATGTGTATCACATTTCCACTCAGGTCAGCACTGCAGTGCTCAGAGCAGCAGTAAGCGTTAAACACATTGGATTTTAGTCACCTTCTACAAAGAACTGTCCCCTGTATACAGTTAAGAAGCTCCTGTAACAGTTTTCTTGCTGTAGTTGTCAATCATTCGTCTGCAGAATCCTTCTCCCCTCCCACTCACAAGTGCCCCTCTGTCTTTTCCTCTATGCAGTCTTCAAAGTTTGTTGGTTTCAAATAGTTTTTAAGTCATCAAAAGCCACAAATAGAAAAAAACATATTGACCTGCTTAACTTAGAACGCTCCAACACCTCCTGGTGAAGTCGTGTGTTGGCTCATTACCCAGATGGTAACACTGCTATCCCTTCCCAACATTATCTCCTTGCTAGAAAAAAAAACTTGCAAAAGACGACGGAGATAAGCAGATACTTCAGATGAAAGGGAGAGGCAGCTCTACCCTAAAAGCAGCGCCCAAAGACATTCCACATCAACCCTTGATAATCCTTATCCAGAGCGTTATTCCCACCAGATCGAACAAGAGGGAATGAGATTAAGGCCACCCTAAGTGCCCAATGGCAGCGCCGAAGTCCTGCCGGTGCGCCTCCTGGCTGCTGTTATCTTTCTTCTCTCTCTCATCTCAAGACAATCAGATCTAACAGGCAAACTCCGACACTGGCAGGTGCTGTCCCTGCCAGCTGTCCTGTAGGTAGTCAGGCCTTGGGCCTGCCCAGAGCCTCCTCCTTCCCCAGCAGACAAACAGCCAACAGAAGCAGCTCTGTGTCAGCTCCCTCCTTGTGCTTTCTCTTTCACAGCTTCATTTCAAAGCAACAAAGTCAGACTTCGTCAGTTTCACCAGCCCAGAAACACCATAACTGTTTTCCGCTCAAGAGACAAACAATAATTACCGCTCCATCAACACCACAGGGTGAACTCTCAGGCATTTTAGTAAAACACACTTTGCACAGCTTTCCGTTAAATAATGAAAATAAAACCTTCTCAGTACCATAACATTAAACGCATTCACTCCTTCCCATGTCCCACGTTCCCATTTAAATGCCCTGAAGTCAACAGTTAAAGTGCAATTCAGAATCAGCAGTTTTATATGGAACTAAAACAGAAGCCAACCTCTCCCCAGACAGCAGAACCTTTCTTAATGGCCCAACCCAAGCCAAAGGTGTGCTGTGTCGAACTCTGACTTCACACCAAATTCAGTATTTACATCAGGCTTCCTTGCCCTGTCCTCAGCCCAGTCCAAGGAGCCCAGTGAGTAGCAGGGAGGCAGCTTTGGAAGCGTGAGGGAGGAAGGGGTTGGGAGAGGTCACAAAGCACAAATGTTCATAAAGCAGATGTTATTTCAGAAGTACATTCTGGATGGAAGTTTTGTTTCTCTGAAGACAGGTATCTAACTTAAGAGTGGGACATTGGGTCTACGACATGCAGCAACACAAACAGTGCAGGAGCTGCTCAGGGAAAGCAATGCTTTGTTGGAGCTCACAGACGGAGCTTAGGCTGGCTGAAATGGAAAACCCCTCACAACGTGTTTCACTGAAGCTGCTGAAGTGCCCACATGACTGCATCTCATTCTGGCAACAAACGCATTTAATAGCAGTGCTACCATCTGAAATGTGTATTTTATGATACTATTTTTGTAAGCTTGACTGGTCCTAGCTCAAAGAAGCTTTTGTAAATTATTCTGGCAGCAAAGAATGCAATTCAGATGCCATCACTGTACTATTAAAGTCCTCTATTAGAAAAGGTACACTTGCTCCTGTAGAGGACACTGTAAAAACACCAATGCATAATAATGGAAAAATCAAAAGCATCAGGGGTGAAAACAGTAACACCCAGTCTGCAGCACAGAGATCACAGCTGTTGTCATATAGAAGATGTAAATTATAGTTATATTACTGATGTTTAAGAAGATGGAAGAAACCCTGTTTATGTAATATACAAAACATACTCTCAAAGGGATTAGACTAAATAATGCCCTATATTCAGCATCTTCCAGTCTAATAAAGGACATAAAACCTGTTCAGCAATCTGTTTCTATTTTCAAAGACAAGCTATGGTACACATTACAAATACTGTTTGTAAAAGAGAGCTATGGAAAGAGGGTTGGTGGGATGTTCTGCATACATTAATGCTTCATTAAAAATGCCATAAGAAGTAAGAAAAAAAATCTAAGATACCCTCCCACATACGGAAAAGGATTTTAAAGCACTTATTAAATTACTTCACTTGCTTGAGCAAAAACATGAGCTTTCTTGGAAATCAGGACAAGCTGATTATATAAGACCCAGATAGTTCTTTTTTTAAAACGGTATTTCAACCCAAGATGTGTATCTAACTGCAAAAAGAAAAAAAAAAAAAGTGTGTGATTTGGGCTATGGTTGTGAAGGTGAACTTAGAGTAATTCTAAATGATATCTATTAATTAATTAATTTTGCATGATACTGTGAACACCAGTACTGCAACTGGGCTCTGACTCAGGTGAACGGGCCGATGGCGATGGGAAGCTCAGAGGGCTGTGCCCAGCTCCATGCCTGGCCTCAGGCAGCTGGTGGGGCAGCTGGAGGGCAGCGGGGTCAGATGTGGTGTGGTCCTTTGTTAGGAGCTGCTGGCATAGCTTCAAGTCATAGGGGAAAGTAGAAAATGTGCAAGAGCGTGCCTGTCCAACAGCAGAGCTGTTTAATCTGTACTAGGAGAGGTACTGTAAATCCTAATAAAATCTCCAACAGCATCACTTGTAGCACAAGTGACATCTCCTTTTTATTTAAAATTACCTAATGAAGTGCTTGGTGCATCTGGGCTTGGGCAAACCAGAACAGCTGGCACCAAGCATGTTCATGGACGAGAGGTGCTGGCGGGGACATGCACAGACATCAGCCCTTTGGGAGATAAGCTCCTCGCTGTGCTCAGTAATGGGAGGAAGCAAGTCTGAGAAAGAAGTGTTCACCCTAGGGGGACCCTGTCCTTCAGGCTGGCTCAAACCCTGCCAAGTGGAACAGTAAGGTTTCCTTTATGGGAGATAGGCTGGATTTTCAAACTTAATAAAATTAAAAACCAAAAGAAAGAAAGAAAAGGTGCCCTGGCTGCTTACAGAAGGGCTCCTCCCACACAGCTCCAGCCACACAGCAGGGCCATCTCAGCCAAGCTTACATGTCCTAGGGCAGCTGTCGGCCTGACAGCCCCCTGGTTCATGCCCACGCACCCTTCGTGGAACAGAGAAAATGCAGCTTTCAGGGCACGATGCAGCTGACCTATTTTAGGTGCCTGCTTCAGGATGAGATGAATCAGCCCCAGCAGTGCCTGCTCCTCTCTGTAAAGGGAGTATAGCTAATGCACCTCCGGCCAGGTAAATCCCACCCTTTATGCTGAATACAAGCAGAAATAAATGCATAAAAACAGTCCAAATGCTCAGAATTCATAGTACTAACATTGTGAACATTGTGCTGCATAGGAAGCATTTAAGATCGAGTGCTGAAGAAAAACTGCAATTAGCTTTAATATAAAGCTGTAAAGATTCTGATCACACGTGTGAATTAATATCTAAGAAGCAAGTCCCCAGAGTAATTGCACAGTTGTTATAAATTGAAGTTGCAGAAAATTACCATTTGCAAGGCTGCACCACATGCAAAGATAATTTCTTGAAGTAGGCCAGAGATCCGAAGGCCCAAGACGCACAAGGTCCAATTAGCACAGCTCAACTGCAGCACGAAGGCTTGGAGAGATAGAAGACCTGACAAATGAGCAAGCCGCCTGCAGTTCAGCTCAGGCTCATACACACAAAGGAGGCGCAGAGGACAAAGGACAGAACAGCGGGCTCAGAAAGCTTCAAATACTGTATTAAGGAAAATACAGTATGAGCAGAACAGATGGCCGCGCAAGCCCTGATTTGCTTGCCTGTCTTCTGCAGGGATCAGCAGCCTACCAGAAGTGACTATCATGACAAGAGATGGTCAAAGGGTGATGCACATGGCAATGCACAAACAAGTTAGCAGAGTGCGCCCAGCAGAATCATGTCCTTCGCTCCCTGGCCTCGCTGTGCTCTGCACAACCCTGATGCATGGGGCTACAGGGGCAGCTCCTCCCGCAGGGAAGGGATGTGCTCTGCAAATCACGGCTCAGCAAAAGGCTGTCTGCTGGAGGTGGCACTGGAGATGGACAGAAAAGCAACCAGCAGGGATAAACAGCCGTCCATAAGGAAGAACCCCTGGAATGCCACCAGCGGTGTTAGGAAGAGCAGGTCTCCACTGCTGCTCCTCCGTGCCCTGTGAGAGAGGACATTCAGGCAAAGCCCAAGTGCTGCACAGTACGATGCACAGGGACCAGCCTGACTGTAAAATGTTCAAGTGATAAACTCACAGCAGCATGTTCTTAGGGTTGTGAAATTTAAGTACTTTTATAGTTGTACTCATGCAAAATGAATATGAGTTCTGAGCTGAAAAGGCTGTTTGCCAGCAGTATGAGTTGGTCCAAGGGAAGATACACTCTCCACCTAAGATACACTTCTCCCAACCGTGTTAACAACTTTGTGCTCAGAGCAACTTATCAGTATCTGGACGTGACCACCAGAAGGCTGTTAACCGAATCAGTCTGAACAAAGTTTAATCATAAGCAAAGACAATAATGTGTTGTAGTTTAAGGATGGCATTCTCAAATTTGTGCACAGAAATGAACAGTTTAGCCAGTACAATCAAGACAAAGACTACAGTAAAACTAATCACTGCTAAGTTACACATACAGCTGTGTACCTACTATCAGTGCTGTATCTCTTATTCATTTCCTATAATTCAAGATGCCATGACTCGAGATTCAAGAAGCCTAGTTTTGTAGCTAAACTAGACTAATGACATGTATGATTTTCAATATATACTGTTTTAATACACATACGAAGACGCATATCTGCATTTTAGTATTTTGGAAATAAATCCTATTACCATCTCCTGGTGATCAGTAAGTATTTTCTCAGTTGGTCCAAGCACTACAGTGGACTACACTGTGCTATCAGCTTCAAGAACAATAAATATTTATAGCAGACTCCTCTTGATTGTGTATTCTAAATCCTGCTTTAAAAGTGAAGACAGATAACAGCAGATTTTCTCAAGTACAACCACCGTTGGCTGGAGCTGGAGTCAGCTTACAGTTTCAGCAAAAGCTGGCCACCTCCATGCACAGAAATGCCAGGACGGAGTTGGCTTCCAGTTTGAGTCTGGCACAGATCTACATGACAGCCTCTCCTGAGCCACTCAGGTGAGTATCAGTGAGATTGGGCCAGGGCACTGGGAAGATGGCTGGATAAGTGGGGCCATTAGGAGACAAATGATCATTCAAGCTTGAATCCAGTGGATTTATGCACTAGTTCTGTAATGTTATTGTCCAATTGTCTTACATTTTCAGAAGAAATAAATATGACTTTTACCGTATGAGTGCAAGCCTGTCTTTCTCAGAAGGATGATCATCGAGCCACTGAGAGTAGCGGGCAATGGACCACTCAGCCCTCTGATACAGGGGAACAAAAAGACACACCAATTACACATAAATGTGGAAAAGGACATACACGCTAATTGCAGAAACAAAGATAAAATAAGTGAAGTCAGTAAAAGGCACTGTTAACACTGCAGCGATGCAGAGTTAGTTAAGAAATTGGAGACTATTTAACAGAAATAGCTCAATGCATTATTTTGAAAGCATAGAGGTATCTTCCACATCAGCTGTGCACCCAGTCCTGGCAGTGAACTGAATCTAGATTTCTTACTGCAACTTGCAGCGTACAATAGGACCTTCCTTTTCTTCTATGAGATGACAGAATACTAAAGAATTGACAGACTATTCAAAATCAGATTATCATCTTCCTACTGTTAATGAAAATATGAAATCAATGACCATAACAGCTTTGTCACAATGAAAACAAAGTCAATAAGTCTCATAAAATGCAAGCTTGAATATTTTTAACTAAAATAGCCAAGGCAAACAGAAATATTTGTTCCTCCTCAGGACTTCTAGAAAACAAAGACGGGTTAATCTCATTACCTGGAAGGGTGATTTTAACTCTGGCGGTGCTCTTGTAAATAAGAACTGAAGAATAATGCTGAATGGAATAACCTCTCCCAGGGCTGGGCTGCTGGCAATATGCTCACTGGTCTGGAACAGCAGTGGTCTGGAAAAATGCAACAATATACTTGTGAAAGGAAGGAAAGTCTTGTCTTATGTACTAGAACAATACCTTTGTAGTGGCGATATTGTCACAGGATAAAATCACCTTATTTTTTTCCAGTGGTCTGTATCTCAGGTTTTCAACAAAGGTTCAGATTGTAAAAAATGTACCGAAGTTGCCTATTTTTAATTAAACAGTACAGAACTGCAAATTTTATATTTCAGTGGAAAGATGTAAGGCAACTTCAGAACTCACTATCATAAAGAAGCAGCACTGAAAGCAACACAAGCACCATTTGGCCATGATTTACATGACAATGACTTTTAAATCATAGTCATACTCCGCATAAAATTTACAAGAACTTTAATCTATTTCTAATTTGCTTGTGGGTGTTGCCAAAAAAGCCCTCAGTTCAATCAGAACTAACAAAAGGTAATAAATTAGTTTTGAAATACAGTTTGATCACAGAACCAACTGCAGGCTGCTGTGCCCACAAACTCACCTGAACGACCTCAGCTGCCTGTAAGATTTGCCTAGGTCAGAGACTCGGCGGCAGAGCGGTGCTACTGCTAACTCCATCTGTAAACACAAGGATTTGAATTTGAATTAGACTATCCCAAAGTATCAAGCTCAGAATTTCAGTGGTCTGCCTTTAAATAATAACCCAGACTTGCAGGCCAACTCATCAGTTTCTCACCGGTGGCTGCCTTTGGGACAAGAAGCTGTTCTTTCATATTGCAGTGCCTCAGCCAAATCTTCTGCTCATCCTTGGCAGCACAGCAAGCAGCACACAAACAATAGCTATAGATAAAAACGGGACATGCTCTTGTGAGCTTCCTGCAGCTGAAGCTTTGTTTGTCTGAGCTCATGTGGACAGTGATGAGTTTCCTGATGAACCACTTCCATTAAGAGCCCCAAAATTCTGATGTCAGAGTGGGAAGAAAGGAAATCTGGGCAGGTTTCTGCAAACCACTACGAATGCAGTAGAAATGCACACATACAAGGGCTGCTCCAAAAGTAATGCCTGCTATTTTATTTTATTGGCCCATGACAGCAGAGGTGGATGTTGGTGGTACGGCAATAGGGGCTGAACCTTCCCACCAATATCCCATTACATTTTGTTGCTGAGCGACAGATGGCAGCAGAGGGACAGACTGACAGAATGGGGTCTGACATGGAAGTGTGGATGAAACAAAGCTGTGGAACCGAATTCCTCCGCACTGAAGAAACTGTACCCACTGACATTCACTGACACTTGCTGGATGTTTATGGAGACCAACCAGTGGATGTGAGCACAGTGAGGTGGTGGGTGGTGCATCTCAGCACTGGCAACAGTGATGGGAAAGACAAACCACTTTCTGAACAGCCGTGCAAATTTTTCTGAGCGTGGCATATAGGCTCCGGTTTATTGCTGGCAAAAATGCACAGCTAACAGTGGTGACTATGTTGGAAAACAGTGTTCGGTAGTTGAGGATTTGCTCTATCAAATAGTGTTATCGTGCTCTTGGTATCTGTTGAAGTTTGCATGGCAATAAATAGGAGGCATTACTTTCAGAGCAACCTACATATTTCAGCTGGAAACCTTTTCCTTAGGTGAAGGAGAAGATTTAGGTAGTTCATTCATGAATGCTCAGCCCTAAATGCAAGGAAACCTATATAAGGAAACCTAACAAAACCTATATCAACTTGAAGGCAGCAGGGACCTATTACCATGGACTCACAGACAAAAGTGCATCCATAACAGCATTATTTCTTACTCAACTGTCCACTCTCTGTTCTGAGAATCCATCTTTAAAAACAAGCAATTTTTAAACTCTAGTTTTTAAGCAATATGCAGTTCACTTGTCTTTACAAACAAGAGCCAGATTCTGCTTAGGTTCTTACATCATTCACATGAAACTAAATTCCCATCACAAAACCATCATTATCACTTAAGACACAGAAGTGAGAAAACAATTTCACCTCCAGATCCCAGACTGAACTCTTCAGTGCCATTACCTGGCAAAATTTTGGTTAACGTGTACAATAATACAAACACCACCACTAAAAAAATGAAACATTGGGAAAATCCAGACGTGGATTAAGACTTTTGTTTTGCATACCTGAAGTGTCAGTCAACAGAGGGATGCAAATTTTATTCTTCGTGTAGATCTTTTAAAATCCCCAATTTAGAAAATTATTCAAACTGATTTCCAAGTAATGCATAATCACAACGCTTCAAAGGATCAGAAATGAAAACCACCATACAATAGCCTCCCATTTAAGTAACACTGCTGAACTTGCTCCAAAGCACTTGTGATAATACGGTATTTACAATGAAGTCTTCAATACTGCTGCTTTTCCCAGTTTTCATTTTCTCAGCTGGAACACCAGCTCCCAAGAAGCACCTGACTGCACTGCTGGGGTTCCTTGTCACTGTCAGCTTAAACAAAGACAATATGGGAAACTCTGTTGCCTCAGTTCTTCTAAAACTAGAAGAAATTTTATTAGCAGTTAATGCTAGTCAAGACGACATCCTGCAAGCAGTGGCCTGCAATCCACCTTCAACAGCAGCACATCACTTAAAAAATACATGGCATACTTCCCATTGATGCCCAGGAACAAGATACAAAGCTGGAACACAGGAGGTGCCATCAGAAACTGAGGAAAAACTACGGTGCTGTGTGAGTGGCTGAGCACTGGCACAGCTGTCTGGAGGCTGCGGATCTCCTCCTTGGAGATCTCCAGAAACTGCCTGGCTGTGTCCCTGGGCACCCTGCTCTGGGTGTCCCTGCTGGCGCAGGGGTTGGGCAGAGGAACACAGAGGGCACTGCCAGCCTCGGCCACTCTGAGATTCTGTGTGCATAATGGGAGTCCCCTCAACTGGTTCTCAACATCTGTAAATTAGCTTCATCGTCAGTGGAGAGAAACAACCACTTCTGCTGCGGGAAACCCTGAGGGAAATATCTGAATTAGGTCAGGTGTGTCATGTTGTAGGACTACTCAGTAGGTGACACTCCATCAGACAAATCTGGGAGACTCAGAGCGCCCCAGCTTGCCATTTACACTTCCTCTACACACATGGAGAGGGAGAACCTCAGAAAGGTGATGGGTAAAGCTGTAAAGCTCCCGCAGCACAAAGCTGCTCCCTGGGCCCAGAGGCTTTGTAGTACATGCCTCACGTTCAGCATGCCATGGGATGCCAATATCATCTTGCTCAGGAGGAATTCTCAGCTGCAGTGCCTTGTTCTGAATTTGCTGGCACAAGTGAGCAACGCTGAGCACGCGCAGGTTCACCCTTAGGATTTCTGCAGGGAGGAGCACAAACTCTGTATGGTGATGAAGATTAACACAAGGTCAGCCAGTTGCTTCCACACTTCTGTGCATGTATAGGAGCCAAGAAGCTTCCATTCTGCTGCATGGGACAAGCAGCAAGCGGCCCAGAAGAAGAGCTTATAAGTAGGATTTGCTGCATAATGATACAAGATCCCAGCAGACCTTGGAAAACAAATGGCAGCTCTGATTTCTTCAGTTTCTTTTCAGGCAACAGCACTGACATCCTGTAGGAGCTGGTGCCCCTGAGCTGGTGGGAGCCATGGGCTCATAGCTGGGAAGAACTGGGGAGAAAAATCATTCTTTAGGGTGCTTTGGAGAATTTGAGAATAGGCGACAAAAAGCCATTCTGACTTGTGGAGACAGAATGCATGGATTAAACCGTACCCATGAGGAGGAAGATCCCTGCAGAGCAAAATATAATTCTGCTTGGTAAGTCTTAAATGGTTGTTTCTCTCCTGAAACACAAAATGATGTAATGAGACATAAGTGAAACTTTCTACAGCTTAATCAACTCCGTATCAAAACAAATTTAAATGATTTCTCTTGAATACACTTAGCAGCTTCCATAAATCAGCACTTTTAGTCTTAAATGCTGAAGAATAAGATTTTCTTTGGAAAATTCTGTTAATTCATCTTCAACCTTTATTCATGGTAGGAAATTATTAGAATTGGTAGAGCTAGATAAATTTAATGGCAGCAGATGGTTGTTTCGTGAAGCACTAGTTGCCAAAGGGAAAAAAAACTGTTTTTAAGCTTTGCAGCACACTATACCATCTCAAACTGACTCACAAAGAGTGGGAATGAGTGAAAACTAATGTGGTAAAAATGTACATAAACCACAGAAACTCATTTTTGTCTTTTTTTTTAGGCTTTTTTTTTTTTTTTTTTTTTTTACCTTACAACACTAGTCTGCTATGCCTTATAAGCCAATCTCTCCAATGAAAACTATACCTCACATAATAACCAAGATTGTTTTTCCCCACTTGCTTTTAGCTATTTGTCTGAGTCCAATGACTTGATGAGAAGCCACAGCATTTTGCCTCTTCTGCAATCCCCTCTGCAGGCCCTCTGCATGGCTTCTGTATCACTGTGAGCACCCTGTGGGCAGGCACCACTCTCCAGGAGTGGCTTCCTGGGAGGACATACTCAGCTAGGAACAGCTGCTGTTTTTAAAGAGCTGGATTTGGGCAGAGGATCGAGTGCACATCACTTCAGTTTTGCTACCCATCATCACCTGAAGCTGTATCAGCTGTCAATTCATGCACTGTGGTTCTGCTGTAACAGCTTTTGCTATGAGATACAGCTGTAGCTTCCAAAGCATTCTGGTGGGCTTTAGCAGGTTGGATGATGCTTCTGGCTGCCTGAAAGCCACTATTTGTACAATGTGTGCAAGGCCTTTTGTAAATTTTTGGGTTTTACAAACATATGGACAAGTAGCATCTTTTTCTTTTCCAAATTTCTCTTCCGAGATAGCAGACCTGAAAATTCATTAAATCTGCTGAGAAATCAGGCATCCAAGACATAATGTGCAACCTCAACTAATGTGAGATAAACATTATCACAGGATCTCAGGATCTGCTGGAAGAGATGCAATAGGAAGCATAAGTGCACACTGAAAAGGGACAGTTAGAATGGAAGAAGGCCTAACGACTCTCTCCTTTCCTCTAACTTCATTCCGAATCCATTGCTTTGCCATGATATATTCATGTACTTTGCTGTTCTTCACAGAACGCAGTGATAGACGCCTGCCCAACTTTTATACAAAACATATTCCTCTTCTCAATGATTCTTGCTCTCTAAGCCTAAAAAAGCTGTATTAGCTTTTCTTGTCAGATGACACTGCCATAGCCCATGGCTAGCTGGTCAATTATCTGTTGAACTATTCACTGGCTAGCCATATTGTACAAAATCCATCACGCGGCTGGCTTTGCTAATTGCATTATGTTCAGCAACTCAAGGGTGAACTTAATACATAGTATAGATACAGATAATGCATATATATTGAGGAGTGCTTTGAAAAACTCCACAGTGAAGCTATTGTTTAGTGTCTATTGTGCTATTTTCAAGATCTCTCATTACTAAAAAGCTGTTTTTTCAGTTGGAAAATGTGAGCATTAAATTTTTAGCAATTATATTTCCTCCTGGCCAAGATGAATTCCAAGTTTTTAAATGTTAACTCAAAATGCTTTTTTCTAGTCATTCAGCAGGAGAGAATGTTTTAAAAAGCAAGGGAGCAGAAGAGCTCTGAATTACTATATGAAACAAGCTGGCCTTAAAGGGATGTGGAATTTGATTTCTCCACCGTGTAGCAATTCCAAAATAGTTGATGTTGAAGCAAATCCTTCAGCTGTAATGCTTCCAAAATACCACACTTAAGAAAACAATTTCTTTGCTGTGGCAGGATGGTTGGCATTAAACATTAAGTTCATTTTAGCTTTACTAGTTTTTGTCCTCATGATTACAATTGTGATTACAATATGATGCTTCCCTCGTTTTCTCTGTAGAAGTCTAAAAAAGGAGAATATTTTATGAAAGATGACAAAAAAAGCATTTTTACATTGTATCATCATGTTTGCTCAAAGGAACAAATTTGTTTACACTTGCAAAACCACAAATGCCTAATATCCTTGCTTTTTTAAAAGGCATATTAATTAAGGAAAATGGATTCTGACCATATATTAACCAGGAGACAGAAACACTCCTAAGCTAGAATTTAGCACAGTCAACTTCTACAGTAAAAACATTTTTCTAGGAAAATTCAATACACCCAAAATGTCTTGCACTAACATATTGATAAAAACTTCAAGAGTTGGTGGCAGTGTTAACTGTGTCCCATCAAAACTGTTTTATCACAGTACTGAACAGCTACAAAAAAGCTTCAAGGATAAATCACATCTGGATGAGAAGTATAGGAAGCTGTCTACTGCACAGAGTTAGTTCAAACTGGACTAATAAAAATATTTCATTTCCTTCAACAATGTCTGAAAATAATCAGTCATGACACAATACAGGGTTCATGGCAGACAGTGACTCCAACTTTCTGTTACACCAAACATGAAAAGATGAAAAGACGGCACAACATGTCATGCCTTCGTGCATGAAGCCTAAGGATTACTTACTTTTTGCAACATCAAGACTAGTTGTTTCAATGCAGTTGTATTTACACTTTTATCAATGAATAGCTATTTTCTTTATATCGACTCACAAGTGTTATGCAGCAGACTATTAATTTTCATGTTAAATATTACTGTACAATACCCATTTCATCCAAATAAATTTCTCAGTTGACTGCATTTAGACATATTTCACTCTTGGCTGCACTGTCCAGCAATTCTATCAGGTGTTAAGAAGGCGTGAACTACAAACCACAAATCCCAAAGTATGCCTCTAAGTAAGTGCTGTAGCAACTCTGAATATCAAGCAAGCTAAAAGGTCCTCTGGAGAAGAACTAGTCCTCCCTGGAAACATAAACACTGAAAAACCATCAGGGCTTGCTTACTCCAGGAGAACACTTTTTCTAGCCTGACTGAATTCGAAAAAATTTGAAAGTAAAATTTAGTATTACATGCATGAATACTGAATCACGGTCATCTTAGTAACACAAAAATGAAAACAACCCAATACAGGACTTTATAGGAGCAAACTGAAAAGTAATCTTGTGCAATTGCCTGTATAAAAGCTGAGAGCATGAACAGAAGTGAATTCACCCTATACTCTGGAGGTACTTCAAACAATGAGTCTTAAGAAACAGCACAGTATGTGATAATAAGCTTGCAGCATTGCAGGCACTTCCTAGGGCTTAAAATGCTTCTGTGTTCCTGTAAGCACTGATCGTTATGAAATCATGACATTCTGCCATATTTCATGCCTATCATACCTACATTTACAGCTGCCAACTAGCACATAACCAGCCTTACTTCTGAAACAGCAGTAATGCACAAGATAACATTATATTCCATAGAGTCAGTAACACCACTGACACTGTAGAAACGGGATAAGACAACAATAAGACAACTGTACAACAACTGTACAAGTAGCTGAGCTTGCTGAATGACGAGAGCTTGAAACCTCTCCCTTCCCCCTTCTGTGTACCAATACCAGCTGTTTTGAGGCAACTATCAGCAGAACAAGTCTGTGGTTGGAAAATTTTCACTCTGGACTCTCAGCCAAAGTTATTGGGATGAGTAAGAGGCAATGGTATATCTGAGTACCCTGGCAGAAATGTGCTAAGAACATTCAATAAATGCAACCCAGAATTATTTGACTTGCAACATACATGCTGATCTAGTGGGTGGCAATCCTGCCCACGGCAACAGGGTTGGAACCAGATGGTCTTTAAGATCCCTTCCAACCCAATTCATTCTATGATTCTGTGTTTTAGTAAGACCTCAAGTTAAACAAATCTGGACAGATTCCCCAGGTCTTTTGCTCCAAGTAACCCCAAAACATCATTTTTTTAATCACAAACACTATTTTTAAGCAGGAAAATGTAACCTTTTCTGAGTTCAGAATATCCAAAATGACTCCACAACACAGAGTACAAGTAGAAACATTTATAAGCAAACCTCCTCCTACACATACAGTCTTTCCAGGCAGGTACTTTCCTTTAGGCACCAGTCCAACAACACAGTGCCTTTTTAGGCCTGAAAAAATTCTGCCTGCAGCATTTGCAACCACTTGGAAAAGTTGTTCCTTCCCACCCATCCACAAGTCCAGCTCAGCTCCTTCTCACTGCTTTTCTTGACCCAGGGCAGAAGCCACCTGCCCTTCTCCTCGGAAGAATCCAGACAGTTCCTTGACACAGGAACACACCATGCCAACAACAGTGTGCAAATGAGTCAACTGCAGCCACAACTCACACTGAGCGCACAGCTGACAGGTCCAGGACAAACGTACACCCTCTCCAGCAGCAGACCAGGCAGCTGGCATCATGGACATGTTCTCCAAAACCAGAGAGAGTAGATCCAGCCAGTTCTTGGTCTAAGTCCACTTTTAAACAAAGATATCATGCAGTGTGAAGATGAGAACAACTTCAGTCAGCTCACAGAAGCAGAAATGGTTGAAGGCCAGAGACCAGAAAAAATTCCAAACCTTTTTCTTTCTTTGTTTTCCCGTTCTCCTTGCAGAATTCAGAAGAAAAGAAATAAAAAATGTATATTCACTCACTTGTCCACCCAGGAACTATGCTCATCAAGGCAGGAATGAACATGCAAATTCCCCTGTACTCAGAAGAAATACACTTTCGTTTTTTACTTAAAAGGCAACCCGTGTCAAAATGAGAAAAATATGCTTTTAAAAGATAAATCAGTGATATTTTTAGTATTATAATAACAGGTGCTTAGATCAGATGCTCTTTACTGTAGAATTAGGTAAAGATATTTCCTAAATTTATACAACTTACTTAAGCACTGCAGCATAAATTACAAAAAATGTCGATATTCTTTCCAGAGGAGGAGTCAAGTGTCCTTTTTTTTAATCTATTTTATGCCAGTCTTCAAAATACAGGAGGGAATGGAATCTTCCCACTGAAAGCAATTGAACACTTCCCCTAAACTCCTAAGATTAACAGCTGGTTTTTTATTTTTGAATAACGAATACAAAAACTTTACCCCAAATTCATTCAATGTGAGCCTATTGCATGGTTTAATCCACTGCTTAAGAAGTGACAGTTGCATAAGAATCAGCAAGCTGACAGAGCTGGAGTTGATTCTTTCAATATCTACAGCCAAAACAAATTTCCCAAATGAAAATGCACCAATATCCATCTCCTACATTAGATATGACATCTAAAGTCCCAGGCATGAACATGGAAAGAGAGGCAGCCTTTCACACATGAAGGTTTTCTGACCCTGAAGGGCTGACACAGGGCCACACAATCTGATCTGCATCTCCTGACAAAGATTTTTCTTCTTGCCTTTTTGGGCACTTAAATACAAAATAAATAAAACAGCCACAACAAGGAAATGAAACAGTAATTCCTCCCCTTCCTGCCTTCCTCTCTTACCCCAGTTGCCTACCAGCCAGAAGCAGTGCTCAGTATGCAGACAAGTGAAGCCTCATTCTCTTTTCCACCTGGATAACGATAACCTGTACCCTCACACCAATCTAGTGGATGCCTTTGTTTTTTTGCAAGTTAATCACACAGTGTTATTATTGACAAATTAGATTTGATGACAACAGATAACACAGACAAGCAGTGGATATTAATCTGGCAATTTGCTTTGTGTTTTAGTTCAGTACAAAGACATAGGTAAGTCAGAGAGACAGGCAAGTCAGATCATAAAGAGAATCCAGAAGAAAATGAAAGGGCAGTTCTTCCACAGGATATTATTATTTCTCTAGTTTGCCTCCTACTCTGCAAGGCAGGTGAGTTAGTGATTAACTGCTGCTGGCACTGTGATATATTAAAGCAATTAAGAAAATGACACACCATTGCGTTAGGAGAAAGAATGAAGTAAATGAATGGTGGCAAGTGATGGACATATCAAGGAGGTCAGACAAGCTGGATAAAATTTCAGGATGCAACTGAATTTAAATGGAACAGTCACTTGATGGGGAGCTGTCACACCTCCTGGAATGTGCTTTGCAATGACAAGGGGTCTCCAACTGCTAGTGGATACACCTCTCAGGATCCACTGTTGCAAAGAAAATGTTTAGAACTGGAATGCACAGATCTCTACAGCTGTCTGCTTACACTTCACTGGGGGCAAAAGCATTGATGATACCTTTCAGAGAACACAAAGAAGCAATGATAAAAAGCAGAAATAGGGTAGGTATTAGGGGTACCTGTGCAAAATCTGCTGCAAGCCGCATCTTCCCACCTTCACCAAGGGGCCTGATTAGACTGGCATTGCGAATGAAAAGTTCAATTGCTCTTTGTGCCATGGCTTCAGTGTTATCAAAGACAAAGTCAAAGCACTCAAAATGTCTGAAGTAGTCACTCATGACTCTTCCTATAAAACCCTGTAGTTCTTTCATGTACAGAGAACAAGGGACATCTGGTTTTCCTGAGCTGGATAATGATCTGCAAAAAAAGAAGGAAAAAAAGAAATAGGGACAGATAAATTTATGTTTAAAATACCACCAAAAATGAATGGACTCTTATGGAGTACCATTCAGGCTCCAAATGCTGCAGCTCTTTCTGACATTGTGGTCAAAAAATCTCTCTTCATCCCTTCCTAGCAAGATGCAGGAAATCATCCCACTCCAACCTGACTTACAGAGCCTCCATGAATTTGGAGCCTAAAGCTCAAATTCAGCCCCTAAATGTGAATATCCCAGCTGTTAATTTACAACTCTAAAAATGGATAAGAAAATTCAAGCACATGTCACAGGGTCACTACTTTCACCTATCCCAAATCCATTTTCTTAGAATTAGTTTCCTAGATTGCTCCAAACTCTGGATTATAAAGTAAATAAAATTATCATAGAAGCAGCACAGAAGTTAGAAAACACAGAAATAAATCACCTTTCTCTTTCTTTGAAACACAGCCTGGCAACTGAGCTCTTCCAAGCTCAGTAACCTGAGCATACAGGATATCTAACAGAACTCAGCCTTTGGTTGCAATGAGTTTATTCAGAGATATTTTACTAGAGGCAGCAAAAGAAAGATAGAGAGGGTAAAATATTGACAGATTTTGCTTTTGTTAAAAAAGCCAAAAGGAAAACAAAAGCAGCTCTGAAAATACTTTTTTTTTTCCAGTGAATTTCACAGACAGAATACAAAGGAGTGATGCTTATTGGCCAAATCTTCTGCATCTGCAGGACATCTCATGATGATGTAAGACACATCAGAACAGACAATAACAACCAAAACAATGCTCAAAAGCAAGTCTCAAGTATAGTTAAGACTCGAGATACTTGCAGGTAAAGAGTACTTGAAATGGTGTCTGAAACTTCACAAAAATGTACATGCTAAACCTGAGCTTTCAATGAGAAAGATTTTTTGAACCATTTCACATTTTGTAATATGTTAAGAATTTTTTGTATGTAATTTTGAATCAGAGGTTTTATGCTTTATTTTAAGAAATAAGAGTACTGACATTTCTGGGAACTATCCAGAAAAAAAAAGGCAAAAGAAAAAAAAAAGGAAAAAAAAAAAAAAAAAGCAGAGAATCTTTTCAAGCAGAAGAGAGTTTTTTTAAGGACAAAAAGGGCCCCTGCTTGGTTTTCCTTTCATTTTAAAATGAATTTTACTCAACAGATATGGGGGGAAAAAAAAGTGAAGAATACATATGCTGCCCCATTAATTTGTTTCAATAGATAGCTGTGTTAATTGACCATAATACATCACCTACCTTCCCTCTAATAAACACGGGCTCTTGCTCCAAGGACGCTGTAGCAATAACAATTTATTATGCATATGGCAGTAACAATTTATTATGCATAGACAGGATGTCTTACTAAGGCAATAGTAAATTTTAAAAACACTGGTATTTACCCAGAAAAATCTTCCTGGTGCATCGTGATGATAATAGCTTCTACTGAATCTCCTACAGAGTTCAGTAATGGTTGAACAGCACTACCCATTAGATCATGGACTGCCTAAAATGGATAAGAGAAAGGAGGAGTAAGGAACAGAAACTACAACCATTTGCATTTTAACACCTCAAAATACCTTGACAAACAGTTTGTTCCAAGTGTGCTTTTTTGTGTATTAGAAATTGCTAAATAGGAGGACAAAAGCCTAAGACAGCATTTATCACTGCTCTTACCAGATTTTCACTGATCTTACCAGTGTGGTACATAAAGAAGGCTGTTTACTACTTCTATGTATATAAAGCATTGCAATAAAAAGATGCAGAGTGATCTGGCATTCCTGGTTTGTAGACACACATTTTGGCATACACACCTGGTTCAGCTGCTCATTCCCCCAAGACAGGCAAGCTGCCCTTCATTCCTCTGCACACACCCGCTCCTAGATTAGTGCACAGCAGGATAGATGTGGATAGCTGTCACCCACAGCACCCGGAGGGCTGCATGCCCATCCACACTGCCCTTCAGAAAAGCACCAGATAGCATAAAGATCATAATTTTATGTGCCTGCATGGCTGCGTGTCAGGGGTAGCGATAAAGGATTCAGTTACTGCTGTGTGAATGCTGCAGAGAAAGGCATTTATTTTCACAGTCAGATGACATCTGGGTTCCATCCATTATGAGAATATTCTTAAATACAAATGCTATTCAAGCTGTGACTTAGCACATGCAACACTTACGTAGCTGCAGATAGGGCAAAATATAAATTACAGAATATTTGTGTATCTGTGGCTAGCATATACCAACACTACGGAATACTTGGGAAAAAGAAGCCACCATTTTACAAGTAACAAACAAAGCAAACCTCAGCCCCCTCCCCAGTGCATTCAATCTTGGGTGTTCAATTACCTTCAAGGCAGTTGTGATCGCTTCCTCAGCAGCTGCTGGGAATGAGTTCTGATTGGTAACAACCTACAAAGGTTGAAGTAATTGTTAATAATAAATGTTAATAAACATTCACAATGGTTAGAAGCCACAACACTTAACTTCATACTGAAACATACTGAGTTATTTTTTGTAACATGTGCATTATATGTAATATCAAAAATGTTTTACACAGACAGAATTTTCAGTGCACCAATATTGGTTCCTCACTCTCAAATTTCCTATGGACTCTGTTGCTACTGCTACTTCAACTGAAATACAGCTGAAGGATTAAAAGTACTAGAATAAAATTAAGTGGTGTATTCTCTTGCTGCGAAGTATAGAATTTACAGAGAACTGTACAAGCAGCTCTACAGCAAACATTTGAAAGAAAGGTTATGTTCTTTCTCAGTACTGTAATTTGTATGTAATACTACATGTTGAATAGCTGATTATGTGCAGCTACAGTAAAATTCAAACTGAAAGTCAAGGAATGACCTGAGGAATATACAACCAATTTCCTTACAGTTATGAACATCTATGTAGTAGTATTTTTAAGCCAGATAAGTACTGAACTCAGACTGAATCATATCAAACTCCCTCCAACACTAAGGCACATGAGGTTTATTACTAAATACATCAGAGAAAGCAGACTTAAAAGTTAATCTACCATCTGCTTGCAAAATCCAAGCAAATTTTATAAGCTTTTTGGCCTTTTTAAACATTCTTGAAACATATCCACAGTCAGGAGTACTCATGATTCTGTTTCTGATCAGGCTAGGATTTAAACATGATTAACTAGAAGTGCCATTATATCTGTTTGTATTAATTTACAGAGGCTGTGTAACCACTGATATTACTGAGTCAGTAAACTGTAATTGTTCATAACTGAGCTGAATACGAAAAACATTTCCAGGCCAGACTTGGGTCACAGCAGCAATGCACAGAGATGCATGTGAAGTGCTGCTTTTCTTGATTTCCCCTTTTCCTTCTTCTTTTCTATTTGGCCACAAGTGTGGGAAAGCAGGGAAGGTCTCCTCAGAAAGATAAGCTCAGGCAGGGACAGATGCAGGCAAGGGCTATTGGGCTTACCAGCAGAAAAACAGAATTTTGTGATAAGAAAAAAACAATGGCTGTGAGATGTGCTTACTCTCTATAAAGACATCTTTCCTTTCTCTTTTAATATTGACAATTTATCACATAGCAGTGCTTAAAAGGGCCAACCAAGTCTTCAAAAGCTGTACAAATGTACAAGATGCAGTTATCAACCCCAAATCTGCCAATATTTGTTAGAGTTCTCACCAGCAAGTGGGGTGATATACACACAACACAGCAAAGAAATTTATATTATGGAAAGACAGGGAATATCCAAGGAAGCCTACCTTCAGAACTGCTTGGTGTAGTTTGTGTAGTGAATTAACTACAGCCACATTCCTTCTCTGTCCCTCTGTGAGAGGTCCAATCACCTGGCTGGCATCTCCTTGAGTAGACAGCTGCAGTGATTGCAGAAATGGTTAGAACACCATCAACTCTTTAACTCGTGCATCTCCTCTAACTTTTAGTTAACCAAACTTAGACTGTGGAAGAAAACCATAGTTCATTCCTCAGTCTCAATGTTCTTCCATTGAACTCACCTCAATTCATTTGATTTCCACCTTCGTTTAACACGAATAAGACAAGAGAAACAAACCAAGAAAGACAGTTGTCTCAGCTTCCAAAACCACAGCACTCAGACCCTTGCAGATACCCACTCCCTGCACATCTTAACCTTATAATCTAAGAATTTGAAATCACCTGTCCAAGGATGTGATATAAGCCAGCAGCAGCACAACTGCAAACAGTATATGAGCTTTCACACCTTGATTTTGTCAACTATTCGAGCATTTCCCTAAGACCTGTTCTTCTTCTAAAAGGTGGCTTACAGCTTTGTACATATTAATGATTTGTACTACATAAGTGAGCAGGAAAATAGAAATGCAAGGACTGCTACTCTTGCCCTTAAAAAGTTTTACTCACAAATCCTTCAGCAAAAGTGAGAAAACTAACGCTTCACTTTTAAACACTACTGTGTGCTTTTTATTACTACCACAGAAATCAAACTTCCAGGATGATACATAAACAGCAATTAAATCCAGAACAGTTCTGCAAGGATCCTGCAGTGTATATTTATAATTTCAAATAAAACAAATTGTAATTGGGAAACAACCAGAATTTTTCTTGTGCATAAAAAGCCAATGGAATACAAAGATCAACAAAATGCCATATGAATTTTAGAAGCATATCTCAATATTACAGCAAGAATAGCTATTAAAAGAAAGCTTTACTGGGATATAGCTATCTCACCAGGTATCCATATTTCAGGATACAAAGTTATCCTCCAGGAAACTCCTGAAGATGCCTACATCCAGAAGTCTCTCAGTAAAAACATACTTGACTCCTTAAACAAGTCATCAAGAAACTTTCATGATGTGCATCTTTACCAGTTGCAGGTTGTACAGAAAGCTCTGAAATACCAAATGCGTGGTAACAAAATTTGTTCAAGAAGAGGAACAAACACTGCCTGAAGATTTTCAAGGTATGCAAAACAAATTTTTGCTAGAGAAAGCCTATTCCTGTACATCCCATACCTTTCATTCAGCATAAACTCAGCCATCATGCAAATAAAGTTATCTACTGTTTGCCAGCACTGCTAATAATAGAAGTTTTAGACAAGTTCTCACAAGCACACATGAACACAGATTTATTCACAACACTAGAGTGACAGTATCAGTTCATTCAAATTTCTTCAAATTTAGGATTTATTTAAGCATAAACAGGTTTCTGAGGCCTTTGCAGAGGCAGAAGTCTTTTCTAACACATCTCTAATCGTTTGACATCAGAACGCATCTTTCGACTAGCTGATAAATAAATCATTTCAGCAGCTCCCTGCCTTCCTGATGAGATCAGCCATGTAAGCCATGTACAATTCTGTTTGCCTCCTACTATTTCAATTTGACAGACCTGACTGGTTTTAAGAATTCTGCTTCTCACACTCACAGCTTCCCAAATTAATAGCAAAACAGCTGTGCAAAGAAACACAACACCCTGTCCATGCAGCTGGCCACCTCACACAGCACACTGAGCTTTTCTCACACTTTTCTGAAGCACCGTACAGACTATTCAACTCAGCTGTTATTTTGCACATTTACAGCTATTACACATAAAAGACTCTATTAGGACAGTGGAATTTCACATTCTAGACACCTCAATTTCAGCTCCTTGGAGTCTATTGCAAAGGTCTCATAAGTTTTTTTTTTTAACTCATTATGAAATCATTAAACTATGTAACTTCTGCTGGTAAAAAAAAAGGCTGAACTGGTGAATAAAAATGGTAACAAGTACAAACACAAGCCTTCTGCAGAACAAGGAATTCTTGCATACAGGACTGGAGCACAACAGATTTACAGGCAAAATCAAAAAAAGCCTTAGAAGCATCCGATCCTTCTAAAATTATTTACAATATTAAATTCTCTTCAAATTAATCAGTTTAAACTTTGACAGCAAGATGTGTTGCTCCCCTGTGTATTTCAAAATGAAATCACTGGTCGGGAAAACACAACTGTGGGAAGCAGCAGTAGGTACTGGGCAGCCCGGACTCGCTGGCTTCCACAAGGTATGCCATCCTTCCAGCCACAGCTACAGCAGAATTTCACATGGCCCCTCCCTTCTCTTGCTGTAACCCCAACGATTTCTACGGTCTTGCCTTAAAATGGTTCTGTCTTGAGGTCTACCCAACAGTTCATGTATATACGCTTCACCAATGGCATATACTTGGATTTCAGGTATTTGATCACTATTCAGTGTATCCAGGTAGGAAAATAGTATCATTGTGTCTTCTCAGTCCCAACAAACTGTGCTTATGGCCCTTTTACCTTAGACACAAATCATCCTCGCTTTCTGTTTCATCATACTCAGTTTTACCAATGAATTAGACTCATCATTCTCATTTATACAGCAAGAACTCTTGGAGTGCTGTGCTGCATGTAGCTTATGCACTTTAGCACAGTGGTAATGCAACTCTTCCTCTGTTATCTGTCTGCTGGGGATTGCACTGTGTAAATAGGTTAAGTCAAATAAGTGTGACTAAGCCACAACTACTCGGCTGTAAGACACAATTCCTTTTGAAGAGAGCAGTGGAGTCAGCATTTGTTTTCTTTTAATCACTTATATTTATCCAAAACTGTAGAATGCCAGAAGGGTGAATTTATGCTAAATAGGAATTGGGAGACAGAAGAGGTGCCTTCATCCCAAATCAGAATTTATTTGGGGAAAGCAACAGCTAAAAAACAGTGTTGGGTTGGAAGATCAGATCCCATCTCCAGGGATCAATTGCCCTGGGAGTCAGGCTGGCTTGACTCTGCTAGCTGAAAACAAACTGAAAGGAACTATGCAGAAGCCAGACCTAAATGAGTTGCAACAAGGACTGTAAGAGTTCCACTTTTCTGTGTCTATCTTTAAACATTGCAATAGATTTCTTATTTTCACTTCAGTTGAGTGAACTCATTTCACTTTCACCTTTAAATGTGTTTACAACGATTTTGTGGGCATTAGCAAAGCACAGGTGCTCCATACCCCAGCAAGTGGCAATTCTAGGATAGGTAACACGTCAGTATTGGCTCCCTTTGCTAGCATGAAATACCAGCACAGTGGCAATATTAGGTACTAGTGAGAGAGAGAGGTCTCCACAAGCTAATATAGCAAGGGCTTTTGCTCCATGCATCACAAGGGCTGTGTCTCGTGGCACACTCAAGAACATGAAAATGAACTGCTGCTCTGCTGGGCATTTCAAGAAACCTCAAAGGATAACTGCTAGACTAAAATGAGGATGAAACACTGGAGGCATTGTCCTTTTGACATTCTCTAAGGCAGGAAGTTGGAATTTGCTCAGTGTAGCAGCTGGAAAAAGGAGGTTAGAAAACTTTCTTTTAAAAATCCAATTCAACATAATCTGAGGAGCAGCAATTTGGGTGATTTTTCATGAGAGACAGATGTGGCTATATTTTAGAGAAATTAGTTGGAAGGACCTCATCAAGGTATGTTGCAAGAGAAAGGCATAAACCATTTGTGCAGAGGAAGGACTCAAACCTGATGGTGGAAGCCATAAACTCAGTACCAGACTGAATGAGGGAGTGGAGTTCTGTGTTCAGTACCCGCTTATGTCCTACAGCACAGACACACAGCACTTCATTACTTAAAGCTTATGGATTAACATTTGGAAAAACACTTAAAGATAGGCCTAAGAGTACTTCTACCTAAAAGTCCTTTAAAGTGCACAAAATAAAGACTTGAATCTGAAAATGCTTGCAGAAAAACTACACCATAACTAAAGGACAATTTATACTTTATATTCTAAGTTATAAATCAATAAAAAGCTTTGTCTATCTTGAGATATGAATGAAGAGTCTTCTCAGCTGATTTTATCTATCTACAGCCAAAATGGTCATTCATAGATCCCTTTGAAACTAATGGCATAAAACAGACTCTTCTAGGGCACTGTCAATTTCATCCTAACATGTAAGTTTAAAATACAGTGGGCTTCCCCTCACCATTGATTATTAAGGGAATCCAGATCTGGTTTCAATGTTTGTATCTTCATTATAGGCAACTAAGTTACAGCAGGTGAATCTTCCCTACTGTTTTCTTGGTGACCGACTGAGGTGTTCTTTCTTAGTGAACTCAGAAATGAAACTTGGGAAACTGAAATACAGGAACTAGAAGTAAAGTGAACTAAGTTTGCTTTCTGTTATGGGCAACTTTTATAAACTCAGCTCACCATAAAACCCTTCTGACAGCGGTGTTGTAGAAGTTGTACACAGCTCTGCATGAAATAAATGTCTGGTAACATGGTATATATGCTAATACTGCATCTGAACACATTCTTTTTTGTGGGTGCTGAAGAACTGAGATAAGCAGTACATGGAAGTTCCTGCTGAAGTCAACTGCAACTCTAAGGAAATGCTTGCCCAGACCCAACTGTCAGGCTGTGTCTCAGCTGAGCTTCTGCCTCTGTTTTGTTTTCCTCTGGCACTTTATTTTTAATAGGGTTTCTAACGGAAATAAAGCTCAGTAGTGCAAGGTCTGCTCAGGTTCAGCAATATACAAATGAAATAGCTGACACATTTATTGAGTAGTTTACTGAACCCAAAATGACACTTGCAGACAGCTGATACCCAAAAAATTTGTCACAAGGAGGAACAAGCCAGCTGAAGGCCATCTGATTTGCTTCAGCCTCACATGGCAGAGAACTAAGCCATAACTTGGCACTGTGGTCTGATCTAATTCAGAATCACATGAAGCATTTTATTTCAGTTTGTAGCCTTCACTAATATGAACCCTACCATGATCCTCCTGCCTCCAGATTGCAGGTGGGAATCTAGAGCAACAGCAACAGATGCACGTGTACTGTCTAGGAAGAGATACTTGATTTGACAGCATGGATTTGATTTCACGTTAA